GGTTAAGACAGTCATAGTATTAGATATTAGTAATAAGTAATTAGATGAAGATTAGGTGAGATCTTTAACATTAAAAGATAATAATATAGCTGTCAGTAAAGTTAGCTTTCATTAAACTAGTATCATTTATTGATTGATGTTTTTCTTATCCTTATATTCAGCTTTCATCAAGAGGATTGCCTCTGCAATCTGCCTTTTGCTTGTGACAATTCACAACTTTCCATACTCAGGTCCAGTGACCACAAACAAAGCATTGAAGCGAGGCTTCAAGGAACACTGCACATTTAAAGATCTTATTTATTTTATGTTCACTTTAACCTTGAGGCCTAAGTCCTTTCATTGCTTTGTTATTGGTCACTGGACGTGAGTATGGAAAGTCATGAATGTTAAGTTGTATCAACAGATCCAACAGGACGTGTATGGTAATGTTTCTTACTCATAATAAAGGGAGTCTGACCAAATCATTAAACATAGCTATATAAGACATWTATTAAATTTCAATTTCTACAATAATATTACCTGTGACCTCCAGTGCATATTATACATTCTGAAGCTCCAGCCTTACTGAAATAACCATCTTCACATGTAATAGGTGACTTTGTAGCATCAGGACACTTGGATCCAGCAAGACAAGTATCACATGATGTTTGATTGACAGCTAATGCCGTGGTGCCGTTGGAGCATGGTATGTGTTTAGATAGCGTTGATGAAGGACACTGTGATCCTATTGGACACGGTAAGCATCCCATTTTACCTGATGGCGCATAACTTCCTGGCTGACATGGGTCTGGATCTTTTGACTTATTGGCACAGCTACATAGAATGAGAATAGGAAAAGATTGGGATGTGTTGAAGACCTGAATGTAGCATTAATTAGGACAATGACACAAAGACRTAATATGAAATCATTGTTCTTTGAAAACTATATTTCTTGAAAAAAGTCAATGATTAGTAATGAACCTTCTACTTATAATAAGTCATTTGTCCTTGTAAAGATTGCTCTATGGATTGAAGACCATACCTATGACCTTCTGGRCATACTGTACACACTGCTGAATCTCCCTTACTGTAGTACCCATCTTCACAAACCACTGGAGGACCTTTAAYATCTGGACATTTKGATCCAGCAGGACAAGAGATACAWGAAACACTTCCTAGAGTGTCAGAATATTTCCCTGAAGAACATGGGATGTAATTAGATAGTTTGTCAGTTGGACATTCTCCTCCRATAGGGCATGCTGTGCAGGTCATCTGACTTGTTGGAGAATAYGTTTTCTTGAGACAGGGCTCAGGATCAGCAGCTTTGTCAGGACATCTGGAAAACAATGAAAAACACAATGTACAATTGCTTAATATATGCAGAATACTATGTCTGTGTGTTGTGCCAGTTTATCATTGTCCTAGCATTTATCAAGTTCCTCAAAGACTATAATAATCTACCAATAATTATATATCATACAATTTAACTAAACAAATAAAAACAAGTCAAGAATCCAGCCTTCAAAATTAACTATAGTTTATTAGACATACTTGTGTCCAGCAGGGCATTCAGTGCAGACTGTTGAACCAGATTTACTATATGTCCCATTTGGACATGATTTTTCTTCTTGAGAACTAAAAGGACAGTACATTCCTGCATTGCAGGCCAAACATGATGTCTGTCCTRTGCTTGAAGTGTAAGTTCCATTGGGACAAGGTATGGGAGCACCAAGGATAGTGTTTGGACAGTAGAAACCTTTTTCACAAGGCGTACAGCTATCTTGTCCTTCTGAGGCATACTCTCCTGAAGAACATCTTACTGGTGCAATAGATTTGTTGGAGCATCTAAAATTGTGAAAAATGTATAAACATGAGTTAAAATTGCCTGCTTCTTAGATGATCATACAAATRGATACATGACAACTGAATCAATTCAATAGTTTGAACTTACTGATATCCTTCTGGGCAGATTGTACACTTCACAGCTCCACCCAAGCTAAAATGACCCGATGGACAGGTTTGGCATGTTGAAGAACCATTGAAAGCATACTTTCCAGCTGGACAAGGGTTACATTTAGTTTTTGAGGCATCAGGCTCATATCCGCCATCRCAATACTATCAGGTAATAATAGATCCATTAGACTCAGTTTTCAGTTAAGTGTTTTGTAAACATCAAACTCATAAAATTGCTTTTCATTTGATTTTCCTTGACATGCACACACAAAAAATTAAGTTCCTTCAACACAAAAATATGTACTGTGTTTAGATCAGCATTGTTTATGTTGTTCATTATTTGATAAATAGCTTTCTGAAAAGTACATGTATCTTCTGTATAAGCTATAGTCTATGGTAGCATAATAATGTCAATACCTCAGGTAGCATATTGGGAGCAGCAGCAATTTGAAAAGAATCCACATCTTTGCATACACCTTCTCCATAAAGAGAGTATTTGCCAGCAGCACAAAGTGTTGCTGTACCACCAGAACAGCTATAACCTGCAGGGCATGGAGTACAGGATACTGACCCTGCTGTACTATTAGAACCAGATGCACAAGCCTGTTATAAATAGTAGTATTAATTTTAGAAACTGTACKGAGATGAAATCACTTTTATTCACAATGATGCATATTAATGACTAGCTCAATTCAAATGTTATGCAATATTTGGAAGAGTAGGTGCGCCGGTGTTGGACTCATGGTCACACTGCAGATTCACTTCATACCATGATTGCATAGCATTTTCATAATGACATATTTTTGGTTTCAACAAATTAGGACTCAATATTTTCTTCCTGCTTGTAGAAGAAAGAATATAGATGTGCATACTTTGTTCTACCTACCTTGCAAAAGGAATCATTTGATGCACCAGGAGATGGATTAGAAGTACCAGCATTACATGGGGTAGCTGAATCAGATCCTCCTATACAGCTAAAATATTTAACAAACAACTGAATACACGTATAGATAATAAACAGTATATATATTGTTTTGCCAAGAATGCTCTGAATTATAAACACTTAAAATCAGATAATTCACAACGGAGTAAGACAGTCAATCACAGGACTTCCTACAACTGATGTACTGTAATAAAAATACTTTTATAATTTCTGACTTTGTACTAAATCCCAATAATTATTTTTTTTACAAATTTATAAGCAACAGCAAAATTGGCTAGTATCAAGATTTTGAATAGAGCGAAAATAAATTAGAAATACACAAATATTACCACARTACAAAGAAGTATTATTTTAAGCCTTATGCAATTATTAACTCTTGGCTTCGAAGTGATCCTTCCAAGTATATTGCATGACTTATCAGCTCKAACTTCCTAGTAAAGCTTATCAATTGTCGTTTCTATAGCATTAATATTCTAATAAGGAGTGTAATTGAAATAAGGTAGCTATTCAAGTTTTGACTAAAGCTATTCAATGTGATGATATAACTTAATGGAGAATTCGAATGAGAAATATATACTCACAAATGACCGGCTGGACATTGAACACATGCAGAAGTCTGCCAAAAAGTCCCAGCAGTACAATTCGTTTTATCGCAAGGACATTCTACCCCACAGTCACAAGCAGCTTCGGYTGTCCCTATTGAGACATGAAAGAAAATACTTYAGCATGTTTTAGCGCGAAAACACAAAAGTATAAAATACGTGATGTTGATACCTGCATAACATAGAAGAACCACAAGRGCAATAGAAAATGTCTTCCACTTGAAATTATTATCAAGCTGACGAAAATTGAAGGTATTTTCTCGATACATGAGTGGGTAATTCCTCACTGATGGTAGTTCTAGAACAGCATTTAGATTGAAAATTTTGCTATCTCGACATTCCTAAGTCACTCAGCAAGAAGCTGCTTCAATTTTTGAAGAGCAGCGATACGGACAAACAACGTCTTGGCAAATGTCTTCTTAGACCAATATGTTATAAAATTCCTGATGAATGCGGTCGTTTGAAGTTCAGTTCAAACGCGGAACTTCAAATTGGAGTTATATTTCTTTGAAATTCGAACTTTACAATCAAAATAAATCCGTCCCATGTGTATAATGATCACCTTCGATGTGACGTCACGTGGGACACGTTCCTATGACGACGGCTGTTCTGTTTATGCCAAACTTTGCGCAAAACAAAAGAATTGTCAAAAATTTTTGTGTCTCCACCGAAAACATAAAACGAAAAACAGAATAACAAGTTCTATATAACATTCCATGGGACAGTTTATCTTATTCTTGTTTAGACTTTGAATTTCTATAACTTTTTCAGGGCCTTGACGTCTAAAATGAATCCTCAGTTTRCTGATCGATGGCCGTCAATGTATGTCCTCTGACGTCATTCGGATGTCTTATTCAAACGCACACAGTTTGCAGGCAGGTTCAGATTTGGATGAGTGGATTCTAGTTTGACTAGTTTAGCTATGATCTTTCAGAACGCCACAAAAAATTCTCATTGTGTTAATGCCCCCTTCCCCTGACTGATTCCGACAGTTCTTCCCCGCCTTCAAGCAAATTTTGCACAACATTTCTGGCAGCTGACTTCAGTCGACTAGAGCTCTACTCCATTACTTGGCAAATCATAAAAGGCTCATGTAATRACCTAATGTGAATAGCAAACTGATAAAGATTATACTGGATTTATATTCGACCCCTACACGGCCCTACACGGACCATTCCTTTGATTTTCCATTTGCTTGAAGAGACTGAAGAATGAATCATAACTTATATTTTTTATCATACTGGTACCAAGCATGTGTAGTTAATATAAAAGTAGTGCCGTTAACCAACCTTCATCTGGAGTTTGAAAATCTCCCAGCCCTAACAATCTTTAAGGAGGCGATTTTTACAGCCCTGACAAAATGCTCAATAGTCCGGACCCGCCCGGATTTTTCGCGCCAAAAACTTGCAGGCTTAGTGTCCAGGCCTAGTATATTTAGCCGCGCGCTCGCAGAGTGCCTTTGCCAACCTTTGCCTGCCTTCGGATTAGAAAGACACGCGAAAGACACTGAATTGTTGTTTGGCCTTAAAAATCCAGTACAGCGATAGGCTAAATGTATAGGAATGGAAGGTATGGCAAATTTAACTGCGATCATACATATATAATGAATCATAATTGTATGAGGAAGTAGCTGATCCCATTAAAGAGTGCTAAAGTGTAGAGCTAGTTATATACTTAACTTAACTTAACTTATATAATATCAAAGAGGCAAGATTTTGCTGTAACTCCGAGTTTCGTGCTACGCACTCATCAGACAGTATTTAAAATCTTGCCTCTTTGATATTATATATATATAATGAATCATGGAATTTCATCCATGCTGCCAATGCTCTTGTGTAGGTAGACAAGAAAGTGGACAATCCAAGCTTAATTCTCAGAACAAGACAGGTAGTGTTTATTCATTTATTTATTATAAAATATCATTATCATTAGCATGGAAAGAATAACTTTGTAAATAAAAACAACATGCATATATGGGTAAACAAATGTAGCAAGCAAAAAATTATTGATACCACATCAATGTGACATTCGTTATGATCACATGATTAGCAAGTCTTTATACATTATACAGCTAATTATTATATATAAAAAATAGAACTGTGCTATATTTGATTGGCCTCAACAAAACTTGCATCTTTACTTGATAATATAAAAACTAAGATTAAAGAGCATTTATATTTACACAATTTTCAAAAGTTTAAGTTTAGTTCCTTAAATTTGAGGTGAACTTTTGTTTCGCTTTCTTAGTACTAAAAAAAAGTTTTGCATCAAACTGCTGGCCAGTACTTGTACGGACCTGCATACACAACTGCCTGGCTGTTTATTACAAAACTCCAGAACAAAAAAAAAAGTTGTCTGAAACAGCTTCACAAATAGTTCGTCTTTAACAATGAAGAGTTATATGGGCTTTTTAAATGGTTAGCTGATGATAAGGCCTTCTGTGGCCATTTTTTCCAAATGAATGAAACATATAAAAAGAGTTCAAACGAGCCATCAATGAAAAACTCATTTGCTACCAAATCAGATAAAAAATAAACAGCCAAAATGATTTTTGAAAGCTCAATTAAGAAAAGAWCAATCAAATGACTTTGTAAAAAGTACAAATATAATAAAAAAAAMGAAGATTGCAGCAAAAAGCCCATAAAATGACCACCACCTTGCTGTAGTATAATTTGTACAGTCTTTACCACTGGATACCAAATGAAYAATRTTTTTTTATGGTTAGTTTTTTTATGTTTTGCTCTAATGTCCTATTTGTTCTCTATTATTTTGAGATTTTATTAAGTGAGTTCAACAATGTTTGAGGACCACAAAAGCAATCAAAAGTATTATCCTAAAAGATCATATTTTTTGCTTTAATTGTCCTAATGATTCTGTTCTTGAGGAAAACAGAAAGTAATATGAATACAGCATGACAATTTATATGTGATAGCATGGACGACAAGCTATGCAGGATAACTTTGTGTCATTAATTACAAAAATGCAAGTTTTCCAATCAGTCAAACAACTATATTATATATAATATATATATGATTAATATATAACATACGTTTCATACCGAAACCATTAACAATTAATTAAAATATATCTTTATCTTTATAATCTATTAAATATTTCATTGTCTGGGTGTAAATTATATTAATTGTTACACCCCCCCTTAAATAAGATTAGTTGTCAATGTTCAAAGGCCCACATACATCCAATCTTGAACCTTTGCAATTGTTTGTTATGTTTTGTTTTACAAATGATCTCATATTGAAAGCTCCTTTTTGATTGGTTTAAAAATCAAAGATGGTGAGAAAATCGTGAAGAGGTTCTCAGATGCATGTGGACTTTAATTTGAATCAAGAATGATAATACTAGTAGCGTCTYGATAATGCAAATTGATAGTTAAATGATTAAAATTGAAAATGCAAGTTTATAGTTGGGTAAAACATTAACTCAAATAAGCTCAAACTTAATTTAAATTGGAAAAGAGGGAGAAAACATAGTGTCAAATTATTATGACATTGAACAATGAAATGGTTGAGTATTCATAGATCCCATGACTGGTAGATAATACTGCCATTTAGTTTCTCATCTTGTACTTTCCTGTTTGCTTTGAACTCATCCATCAACTTTGAACATCTTTTATCTTTCTCTTCTGAGCTGTAATTGTCCACTTCATAGGAAGGTGGAGTAACATCAGGGCTGTAGTTTATCATTTCTGGTATTGTAAGTTTTTCCAATTTAGCTTTACTTGATAATGACTCATTTGAGCTACCACTTTCAAGATCTATCCCAAGTTTTTGTTGTAARTCTAATAATTGATGCATGTTTGCAATCATATTTGGTTTATAATAAGAATGTCCAACCTCGCTGCCACTTTCAAATTCACTCCCAGTGCCCTCACGATCCCATTCGTACGGCTCATCCAAATAAGGGAATCGGTGTTTATGTACGTTGCGCATAGCGACTAATTTACTTGGATCGAAAGGATATCCAACCAGTGCTTCACTTCCGAGACTTTCTCGAGCAGAAGAGCTGCTGTCAAATCCACTCGAGGTTGCACTTGATCGTGCCGAGCATTTGGATTGTCTTCGGGAAACAATCGGGGAATCGACGCTGTTTGTTTCGCTGGACGATACTTGCGTGGAGTAGATGCCGCTAGAAGCATTAGAAGGTGTGCGAGAGACTTGATTGCCTCGTTTTCTTTGGTAATAAGGATCACACAGTTTTAACTGATCTARGGAATCTGCATGCATTGTATTATTGATTACAGGCATATTACGTGGTGATAGGTAATTAGGCAGAGACAAGTGTCCGTTCATCACTTTTTTTCTAGTGTCGCCTTTTTCACTGATATCAGASGCCGTTTCTATATCTAAGTGTTTCGCATAAGGGATACCAGTTAACATGTCTTCAGACAATCGTTTGTTGTCAAGCGCATCGTTGATGTGTCGGGCGATCTCCCCATCGACATCAGAGTCTGTCAAAGATGCTAGAGAATGTGCTGGAGATACACTGTTTTCTGAAGTACTATCGATTGATTGTARAGCCTCGTCATCGGTAAGTCTTGGGTGAGGTCCATACGGTTTTCCGACAGATCCATCAGATTCCTCATCCCAGGCCTTCAATCGATCCATGTAAGGAGGCCTTGGTGGTTCACTCTTGTTGAGAGCGTCGAGATGTGACTTCTTAAGCGAGTCATTTCTTTCGAGATGAAGATACGAGCTCTCACTTCCTCTATCCAGTCCGTTAGGAGTTTTTGATCCTTGGTCGGCCTCGTCTTCCTCGCACGAGCATCGTAGATTGGTGTCAGAGTCTTGTTCTGTTATTGGCACAAGCTCTCGTTGTAGAGAAGCACTTCCTTCGTAGTATGACGATGGTCGGTTCATTCGCCGTCGTCTGCCGCGCCCTAAAGAGCTCACAGAATCTGAATCGGAGTCTCTGTTTGATTGGTTCCTCCAGTCGCCAGAAGGTGAATTGAAGGCAGGCAGCGACCAATGATGAGGATTATCTTTGGAGCGTTTAAGGGCAGCGTCTTCGTCTGAGCCTGGAGGTGGTGTTCTATAACGCGGCCCTCTCATCGCCCTTCCTTTGTCAAACTGAAGACTTGAATTCGAACCGTCGAACTTTTTCACTAGGTGCATCTTGGACCCTTGGTGTTCATATAGGGCACGTTTGAGAGCATCACGATCTAAAGAATCCCGTGATCCAATATCACTTGGGGATCTGCAGAACTGATCATATGAGTCACGCACTTCGTTAGAAGCTGGACGACCAAGCGTACAATCGTACCAACCAGACTGTTCACCGGCCCCGAAGAATTTAACTTTTTCCTTACTAGGTGAAGTAATAGAATGATCTAGAGAAGTCCGATGTGGACTGTAGTCCAGCTTATCACCGCCGAAAACATGATCAACAGATGATAGAAGAAAGAAGTCGTCTTCTTTCGTGATTTTTCGTCGCCAATGGCTCCCCTCACCAATGTGTTTGTCTGGAGTAAAACGAACTGTCTCCGGCCGAAGCTTGATTTCTTCATCAAGAAAGTCATCCTCGGTGACTTCTGACTGCTCCCTCGATTTGCTAAAAAGAAAAACAAGAAATCTTACTTTCACATAGCTCAAGTTTATAACACAATTGCTAACAATTCCGTAATAACTAAAGGCGATTTCAGGTTTACATAGAATGTAAATTATTTTGTTGTACATCTCTATATAATAAAGGAGGTTGAAAAGGTACTTCCAGGGTTTATAACGTTTTTTATCCAGCTGAGATCCAGATTATCTTCATAAAGTTTGAAAAGTTTTATGAAAGAAAATAATTGAGTCTGTATACTTGTGTACTAATTCTAGGGTATATCAAAATTATGTTATTTTATACAAATATTCATAAAATCTGCCATTCACTTTTAGCTCACAGTTATGGAATTGAGAATGACGGCGCTACATGCTTAGCAATAAAACATAACAATAAAAATTGACTAGAATGGAAAGTTGATGTACGATCTTGTAACTTTATACATCGTCAAGCCTATTCAACTGATATGTTTGCAAGTTTGAATCTTGGAATATAAATAGWGTTTAATGAAATTAGCATACTTGGATAACTATTACCAACTTTAACACTTCTCTAAGTCTATTTCGTCTACGATAATAGCGATATATAYGACAACAATTTACCTCCAAAATATACCCATTACACTACCAAATGATAAAATGTCAGCCATGCAGTTATGGCGCCATAAAGAGTAGACAGAACAATAAYGACAACCTTGATATGTCTTAAAACTATGTAAATACCATTGGAAGTGGTAATATTGAATTGATGTTAATTAATATTAACTATGAAAAAAGCAAAAAGTCGTAAATACCAAATGTTAAAATATAACAAGGAAAAAACCCATTTTTACGGCAATTTTTTAAATTAAAAGATATAAAGTGAATACAGACATGATGACCRCAATACAGGAGTATCATACTCGGTGTAATGGTTTTATTTTGTTTTGTGGGTCACTTGAGTGTTTTGGGCACCTGCTTACATGGAACACCGCTGACAGGCTTTACCACATCGAAGCTCAAARCATTTTCTACAATGCCTGAACATTTTCACATAAAGCGTTTTATTTCACCATGGAAAAATCTGARCCTCGACCTATATCAATCTAAAATTAGATTTTCGGATGRACAGTGGCAGACGTTCACTTTGGGACTGTTTACGATTATTCATGAATCAGGTTTAACCAGCAGATTTCTTGTTATAAAAGCTATATTTCTATATTATATGCATATCAAGGTACCTATGCTCTATGTTTCTCAAATATAAAACTAGTAAAGCAATCTGAACGTTTTTTTTTTTGATATGTAGTCAGTTGTACTGTTTGTAACGGYTCCGGTTCTGTTTGTCATTATCATATCGCTAAATAAATCACTTTGATCAGACTTCTAAACATGCTAACAATAACAATAATATGAAGAATGCTGTCATGGCCGATTAAAATAACACTGACTGAGTGATCGTTGAAGATGCTATTGACTAGAGCTGTTATATCTAAGTAGTAACTTACCCATCGGGAAGCAAGAAGTGTACTTTCTTGTTTGATTTATCTCCAGCTGTAAGACAGAAAAGAAACTTCTATTGAATGTACGAAAGAAACACGAATCTAAAAAAACAACATTTTTGCACAGATAAAAAACAGATGAAACAAGTCAAAACAGGATAATGATTCAGTCCCGGGCCATTGCCTGGATAAAACGGACATGCAGACCAGGAACGGACGAGTACTACCTAAGTTAAGACACTAAACACTACTTTTTGAAATAAAATAACCAGACTCGCTTTGGTACTTACGTCTTCTGCCGGCTTTATATTGAACTAAACAGAAACAAATTAAACCAAGCAAAACCAAGAACGCAATGGCGCCAAGTACACCAGCAATAATTGGTATAAGATTAGACTTTTCTTTCTTTACAGCCACACCTGGAGAAACTAGAATAAAATGAAGATCACGATTAATCTGCTTCCAATGGATAACACCTTATTATACATCATATTCTAAATCAGTTTTACAAGCATGTTCTCACACACCACTGGGAGCTTATTACAGACTATTGCGAAAAATCAGTTTTACAGGCAATGTTAATACTTAGTGATCAATGTCATATTTCAGAATTTTTATCTATGGAATCTGACCATTGATGTCTCACCTATTATAAACGTCTTTGATGCATACGCCGGCTCACTGTACTTGATTCCAAATGCATATACTCTGAATTCATATACTTTATAAGAGTCGAATAAGATGGCTCTTAGAAAACTCGACCTTTCCGTCCCGTCAACACTCTCCTCCACTCTGATCCAAGCATTCGAGGTGTTATTTTCGCGGTATTCTACAACGAACTTATCAACCAGMGGTCTACCAGGAACCTCTTTGTAATCCCAGGACAGATAGTAACCGGTAGAACTGACGTTTACGATAACATTAGACGGCGGGAGAGGCTTGTCTGGACAAAARGAAAGATTATTAGTTTACAATTGATGTTTCTGCAATTCCTCACATGAACAACGGTAAACCATGTGATTCCCATCATTCAATGTTCAATCCACAGTYAAATTGTGCAAATTATCCAATTTACAGCTATACTTCACGCAGATCATAAGGCACATTCAAAGAAAACAATCATTATTTAACTATAAACACTTCATACGCTCACCTGGCAAGTCAATCAATGGGATTCCAGTCCTTGCATCAACCACAAGACTCCATACCCCAGCTCCTTCTTTATTCACTCCTCTCACTGAAAAAACGTATGCGGAGTCCAGGTCCATAAATGTATACGAATTGGTACCCAGCGGYAGAACTCCTGTGCCTTTCCACTGGTAATCAGGGTCAGTAGCCTTGCGGTACCAGACTTCGAACCTTTGCGCATAGCCGCCATCATGCCCAGGTTGCCACGTGACTTTAACAGTTGATCCAGATATTTGTACGTTTGTGATATTTGGTGCACCAGGAGTTGCTGCGRATATAATGTAAACAAGGTTAACTTAAGGTTTAGAAGAAGCACTACTAGGGCACAAGACTGGAATTAAACCATCGTCAATTACATTGTTTATTGTACTTACAAAGAACTGTGATAGAGGTAGAATGTTTGGCTACCCCTTCACTAGCAGAAGCAAGGCACATATACTGTCCATCATCACTTCGCTGGGTTTTAGTGATGGTTAACTTCCCACCTTTCAGCGTAGTGCGACCAGGAGGAAGAGATTCACCAACACGAATCCATGTTACTGAGACGGTCGGTGAGATATCGGAAACTGCTGAACACTCCAGATGAATATCGTCGCCAAGACGAACTGTTTTGATAGCAGGGGGAACTGCAGTGAACCTTGGAACAACTGAAAGATCAAGGTAAAAAGTTAGAAAAATAGATGCACCGACTTGAAAAACAAAGAATATATAATAAAGGAAAGTAAGGATAACAAGAAGTGAGAAAGGTGAAACTAAAACAGACAGGAAAAAAGGCCTGCAGGAAAGAAAATCACTAACGGTGGGAGAGCGAAGTAAATTACTTACTTTTCACTTTGAGTTTTGTAGATTTAGCCATTCCTTTTCCTACTTTGTTCGACGGAGTACATGTGTACGTCCCCGCATCAGAAGTCTTCAAAGCACGTATAAGAAGACTGCCTTCCTGGAGAACAGCATACCTTGGTCCTTTTAGAGTGTTACCACGACGTGTCCATTCGTTTGTTACAGTAGATGGATTGGCTTGTGTTACRCAAGGTAACCTTACATCARAACCTTGGGATGCAGTMGCTACCTCTTTGATTAAAATGATATTCGGCACATCTAGAAACAGGAAAATAGTATTAGGTCGTGTTACACGTTTGGAATTAGCGGGTTTTTTTATAACTTACATTGTATATCCAAGAAAAGGTCTGTTCCTGGATAAGTCAAGATCTTAGTTCCTGTTGTATCCAATCCTTTAGCAGTACACCGGTAGACTCCTGAATCGGTTCTTTTGGTATTTTTGATGTAAAGTGACCCGTCAACAATGATACTCAGCCTAGACTGCGGTGGTGACATGACATCTTTTCCATCCTTAGTCCAGGAATAATGCAAATTACTTGTTGGTGCGCTGGAATCCAGTAAACAGTGAAGCACCTTGGTTTTTCCTTCTTCGATGGTTATTCGATTTGACGGTAGAGGTTTGGTTGCTCCTGGAAACAAGAGAAATACAGCGATAAAGCGCCATGAACTCAGACATTAAGAGTTAGACTAACCATATATAATTATGAATTAAATCAAAACGTCTGCGTAACTTAATGATCTTAAACACAATAATAATAACGAAAACGTAAAATAACGTGATGAAGTGTAAAGCGAGAAAGTTAGCAAAGCTAAATTAATCGAATGAAAACGAAATGAAAGAAAAATGAATGMATTGGATAAATATCATCTCTCTATGAAATTGTTGTTTATAAACGACGATTGTGATTCAGATACACCTGAATAGCAAATAGCAGCAAATTTACCAAATAAAACGTTTAGTGCAAATTTTGTACGTGTACCAAACTTTATATGGATCGAATGTTTTCAGTGGTCTTACGTGTAACATTAATGTCGAACTCGTAGCGTACTGAACCGTAATCGTTGGACGCAGAACATACGTAACGACCAGCGTCGGACATTTCTACACTCGTAAATGTCAACGTGCCATTAGGCGAAATGTTTGCCCTCTTTCTCGAGATTTCCCCATGCAAACGGTACCATTCAATGTTTGGTTGAGGTATTCCAATGACAGCACAATCAATAGGATGGTGTCGCTCATTGTCAATATCATAGTGTACCCTCTTGGGTGGTTGTTTAATGAAGAATGGTCGCTTAACTGAGCAAAGAAACGTTACGAATGCAAAAACGTTACAAATATTGAATGTATAGAATATTGCCACACAAGCAATATTGCAATGTCCTGTACTTATTGGTCATTATAATTAAAGAACTTACAAAAATAAAGCAATGCCTAAAAATATAATAAAWAGATGTGTATAGTTCAGATTTGAACGAAAACTTTGACTAAAATAACAAGGGTGTGGCATGCCACATTTTAGGTATTTCCTGTATGAGAAAGTAAAAATGCGAAGAAAAATGGGGAGAAATGATCTTTTATGTCGGTCTTTTAAAAATATTCAGGTTTTTTTTACTTTAAAAATCTAATATTCCTTCTAGCAGATTTTCTCTGCTCAAGTAAGAAAAAGTATAAAAACATCTTGATTCGTATGTGGTCACAGCAATTATAATGAACCTAAATATAAGTTTTCATTAATGAAGATAACAAAAGCACTCAGACTGTGGTTATCTTATAATAAAAGTTATTTGAAACTCTGAGGTGAATGGGCGTGTTGTCTAGAGAGAGTTATCTTAAGAAACGTTATCTGAACTCCCGTAACCGATAGTCGAGGATACAATTACGACTCAAATTTAGACGAAGTTGACAGATTTTCGCATTAATCAAAACAAAAAGTAGGAAATGGAAGTGCTCCAAGGAATTCCACATTTTGGTGGTAGACATTTGGACCTAGTAATGTTAATATAATAAATTGTAGGATTGGAAATTGCACGAAAACAATATTGATTTCACTGCACACGTTACAGTCACGAGCCTGAACTATCGGCTAACAAATAGTACGAGGTTCAGTGCCTGCTTAGATTCTCTGGCTACACTAAGAGCTGAAGTTTGCTCAGTTACCTAACAAACCAAACGTTTGCACAGAAAAAAAAAACAAAGATTTCTAAAGTTACCATGGCGACTTTTAAGTTGACTGACACCTTAAACTAATGAAAATTCTGAGGTTCTAAACTAGGTAAATATATGCACTCACRCTAAGATATTACTGGTCGAAACATTTTTGAAAATAAGTTACGCTCATTAAAAGACACTGAAACTTGGAATGATGACAGTTGTTTAAATTCCAATTTGACTAACAAACAYGATGTTTTGGGATAAATTTCATCAACTAAATGACTGTTGACTCGAGCTATATTTGTTCAAGTGTGAACAGTGTTTGCTTTCTTTGCCGACACAAATACTTGATGATTCGATTTGGAAAGCCACACAAAAACATGTTTGCTTTGTGAGTAAGGAGTAAAAATAACAAGAATACAATTAGATACAGTGCCAAAAAGGTTTTATATATGTTCGAAAATGTTTTAAAATTCTACTGAAATTAGCAAAAAATGCCGAAAAATGCGTAAAATCTGAAAGACCAATGTAAAGAATGTGTTTAATAGTTTAATAGGATAAATTCTACTGATTGAGAGTAGAAACCGCTTTAAAAAACGGCACATTATGGAGTGCAAAATCAAAGTTCTTATGCACAAAGAAACCAAGCAAGCATTACAGTCCCGCTACAATGCATTTCAAAAGAATTATCGCCTCTTCTGATGTACAATACCTAGTCCTCCAAAGTGGGCTTATTAATCTAATAGAGGAACCAATTTAGCCAATAATCCTTTGTTGCAAAGAAGAACACAGCTTTGGAAGCAAGCGATTAGAAAAATTTAAATAAATTACAAATTTAGGATTAAAYTTCTACAGTTCCTATCACAGCAGGCTTGATTGAAACTCATGAACATTTKCTTACAATTAAAGCGAAGTTATTAAATACATATTATTTATCTTTGGATTAAGAAGAAAAATTTTAGAAGTTCTTTCGATCAAGATAAGATAAGAAAAGTGAATAGCATCGGTAATTTCGAGAGCAGTCATTAAATTATCATAATGACGAAAGCAGTGATTTGAGACTACCACCCACTTGTGCTCAATATTACAAAAGATCGCTTATTACACAAAATATCTTCTCTAAACTTTTTAGCGCTTTTCGAAATMTAAACAGTTAAACGAAATTCAACTCTTAAAACTTTCGCCTAAATCGCTTCATTAGGTTTGATTTGGTACCAGTATTGATGCCGTCACAAAACCTTGTAAAGTAAAACAGAAACAGTAAAGCAAATAAGTCTAACTTTACCACAATACATCTGAGAAAACATTTTGTACAATTAGAAAATTTTAGACAAAAACAGCCCCASAAATAACCATAATATTTGGTTTAGTCTTGAAGAGCTTTACTGGTCTAAAGATCGAAGATGATATTACATATTTGAATCGTGTTTTCCAGGTGCTATATACTTTTAATAACGGTGTAATTGACTTACCTTCTACTTGGAGTTTTATTGGTGTACCGTATAACATAACTCCAGCGCTAGCGCCACTAGAAGAAATCATAGTTTTACACCGATATGTCCCAGCATCTTTGGGAGTAACATGCGAAAGAAGGATGGCTGAATCGTTGAAGGCGTGAAGACGCCGCGATAACGCGGGTGCTATGAACGGCTTCATCTCCATAAACTTAGCAAAAAAAGGAGTTTTTGAGTTATTTAAGTTCCAATTTAAAAGTTCAAAAGATTTGCCATCGCTATTTGTATCACAATGTAAAACTACATCAGCACCCGTCTTTACAGAAATGACTCGAGCAGTTTTCTCCGCTGCAGCGCCTGAAAAGAAATATAGTGAATGTCAGATTATTCAATTTGAAGGGTAATATTGGATCGCGCAAGCAACTCACACGMGAATTGGCCACACGATAAAGACAAATTGCACTAGCAGCTGTATTAACAACAGCATGGAACAACTATATATATAAGAATATATGAAACGTATTTAGTTGTTTCTGTTCATGAAGCCGCCTTCATATATATTGATGATCATAATTTTAATACTACATTCTGAAAAGTTAGCTTGATCTAAGACTGTAAAAATATAAACTGATACTCAGTGAACTTCGATTGGACATCATGCGAACTTCGAGTAAACTTTATAATTATTCACCACGGACGGAGATTAGATCATCTTACATTAAAAACACGCAGAACTCCGGGCACTATTATCGAGCTTAACCAGTCAGTTAGAAAACTGTTCTTTAGTGAGATTTTGAAAGGCTAAAATAACGAATAGGTTCATCTATAATGATAGGATTTCGGACAAACTTGAGTGATTTTGTCTCTAGTTTCCTACAAGTAGGCCCTATTGGCCTTCGGAGTCTCTAACTTTAGGTAAGTCATAGCACAACAAAACTACGTTTGATCCCGAACCATATCACAATAGAAAACAAAGAAAAGTTTCTTCGCACTTGGTAGTAATTCGTTCGGGTTGATAATTCAATACACGGTGTTTGCCTGTGATAATTTTACAACTCACCGAGTCCAAGTAGCGAGATGGTCCAACACGTCCATGCGATTACCCACATTATATTTTCACGAAACCTACGGAGGAGAAATAATGATATTACAAACAACATGTGGAGAGGAATCGTGATGGAATTAACCAAACGGCAATGAAGAAAAATCATCAAACCTTTTACACATGTTTGCGAAACTAAACAAGAAATACAACGAAAACTCGACTGTAATTACATGACTCAAAAGAAACGATCTAAGACGGTGTGAACAATACGGGAAAACAAAGGTCAGCATGGACCAATCACAGCGTTTTACTCGACCTTCCACAACAACTTTTAATTGATCCCATGACAACGTCAATGACATATACCATTCGTGTCGCTCAGGATATATCAGATTTCGTCTTTTGTCAAGACTCTTTCATAGATTCTACAAACCTACCCACATCCCTTTTGAGTTCTAGAGTTCCTGGGTAAACGCAAAAACCGCGCTGACGACATGGTTGATGTATCGGGATGGCTATRGAACTGAGAGTGATTAACACCGAAACAAAAAAGCGGTTGTGCCTCAAACCTCTCGGGAACAATTACTTCATCAAATAATACGCCATTAGTTCTTTATTAAAGCGTGCAACAAAATCAAGGAATGACAATATTTAACTTTGCCTTGAASCAGACTGTAATTTGATACTAGAGATGTTAGTTATTAAGTGTCAGTGATGTGTTTGATCCAGTTTGATCCTGTGATGATGAGCACAGCGGTACCTATCCACAWCCCTCATCATCTCTGTCAAAATCCCAAAAACATCCCGAAACTCAATACTAAAACAGTCTACAGAACTTAGTTTAGAATAATAAAAAAAATCTCTTCGTTTATGTTGTCTTAGCCTCTTTCAAGGAGCGCACCTCATTTAAACCCACCAATTGGCTGGAGGACGGAAGTTTGTAAGATAAAAGGGCGCGGATTTGCACAACTAATACACAGTGCTTTGCGGTCAATAGATGATGAAGTTGGTATTCAAGAAATTTCTTTTCTTTTTTGTCACTAAATGCGCTCTTGACATCAAACTTAACCCTTTCACAAATTGTTGACCTGAATAGCAAACAGTCATTGAACAACTCCTACAACCAGAACAAATCACCAAACAAAGCAAACAAATTGTCAAAACGAGTTGTTCATCCATAGAAAATAAAGGTGAAAAAAGTTTCATTAGGTCACGTGAACAACGTCTAATTTGAAAAATATTTTGCGTTTAGTTCAGCAGACTTCCAACGGTTGGACTGGCAGGGACAATAGAGCCATTACCCCCGGAGGTCCTGAATGTTATCTATTGTTCACAGCTATTCAGTTTTAATTATGAATTTGCTCTAAATATAGCATAGCAGCATCAGGACAACAAATATTACATTTTAATAGATACAAAACTTATGCGGACTAAATATTTCTTACATATTTCCCCGTGCGATAAAATAGTTAGAARTAACGCGGACATTTCTTGTCTGCTGTGTGCAAAGTTTGGCAGGATTTTTTTAATTTTCTATTCTTTGCTCAGTGAATGAATTTGAAATACAGCCTGAAATATTGCCGAAGAGTCTGTAGAGTTTCCAAGGCTTCTGCAATTATCCCTTGAAATGAGTTCTTGCCTTTCGGCCAATGTAGGGGTGGTAATRTCATGGCTCGCAATGTACACGATAAGCGCACACGATAAGCTAATAAATTTAGTTTTTTTAAGTCGATGTAGTTATTTCSAAAAAATACAACACTGAGTAATAATTGTCGTGTCAGTCGAAAGTTTTTTTTTTGAAATGTAAATCACTACTGTAAGACCTATAATCGTACTATCTTGTTTGTGTTCCCTTGCGTGTGCTTACATCGGATTAGCCGMCTTCCCGGATTCAAGCCTGAATAAATCATACAATGAAAATAACAAAAGCAGAACAAAAGCTGGGCACAAGTTTGATTGGAATCGCAAACTATCCTCACATTATTAATATCTATGTAAGGAAGAGTCTTGTAAAACTTCTAAGCACTTTGACAACAATTTTTCACAGTTTATCGTGTGTCGACTATTCTATTATAGCACACTCTTTTTGCTTTATCTCCAAACGTTTTGAAGGAATTCCAAGTAAAAGGGGACTGTAAATATATGATCATGTGCATGGTCTAGTCTCATTTGCAGCCTGTACTTTGTTTTGGGCTGCGTAGGAGACTAGGACATGGTCATGACACGGGGGGAAATTGTGGTCAGCATCATTGTTGGGAAAATCATTAGGTGAAACAGACGACATGATTAGGTATATTTTAGGAATGTTTCTCGTTTTTGTAGAAAAAGCTGTAAGTACTACAAATAAGAATGGAATTTCATTTCTAGCTTAGACTATTGCCTTGATATTTTGCTGCATACATTAGGTAAGCTATTTTAAACTGATWAAAATATACAACTAGTGCGTAAAGTACAGTTAACAAATAAATAAGGCTCAGCCGTGGTTTATACTCTCATAAACCACACTTTGTTGGCCAATCAGAGCGCGCGTTAGAAATCATCTATATAATAATAAACACTGACGTAACATAATCAATCATGATGATAGCGTGACGTATATATGATAAATGTAGATGATAATGCACCGACTGAGTTTGAAGGATGTTGATGGCAAGGAGAACCTTTGATATGATAAAAGTGGAGTAATTTCTAGGTCATCAATCCACTGAATAGAATCACAGTTTATCAATTGTCGGTATTCAGTTACTACAATGAATATCGATTTATCGGARACCAAAAAATGCGGCTGGTCATATGACAGTTCAAATCTGACAGCATTCATTACGCACATCCTAGCATCAGGCTGCAATCATGAGTTGTAGTTTCCAATTTATTTTTCCGAGCCTCTTGATTCCTCAAGTCAGTCCTCCTTGAATAAAAATGCAGCGGGAAGACCGCAGACCYTTTCCTAGTTATACTTGATCAAGTAAATACCATCAATGCGATTATATCTTAGCGCCTTGCAGACGTACCGCGTCTTGATTGCATACACTCTTTGCCTTTCGATTTATGAATGCTGATAGGTTCAATCTCRAATAATTCACTGTTAGTTTTGCAAAATACGAATTTCGTTTGCAGCTAAGTGAAAATTGCTGAATATGATATTGACTGAAACAACTCTWCTCATTAACGAAGCCATATGTCGTTTTAAAAAAAACACCAAATAGAATTATAGACATTTGGTGCCAGTGACTTAAACTCAATTGATCGGCAACCGAATACAAAGTGCATTTTCTTCCGTATTGTTAACAAAAACTAAATGCGAACCCAAGCGATCAGAATAGCATTCAATGATAAACTGTCCATTTAAATTCATGGTAGCAATCAGTTTCACATGATATGCAGCGTATCTCCATTCCGTTGTCGTTCAGACACTGGTATGCATTGATTCTACAAGTTCTTATCAGACGACAATAATTTCAAATGCAAATGTCTATATTTGTGAAATTTGTCGTTTTGCCGGTAGTTTAAAGCAACCTGGGAGAGCAGGAAGAGAAACATTTCCCTTTCCCACTAAGAAAGCTTACAAATTCACAGTTGTGTACAGTAGCAAAATCAGCAATCGAGTACTCTAAAGAACATGTAGGTTCATTAATACGAAGTTTTCGAGCGCCGAATCTTGCGATCCAAGAATCAGACTGATGCATAGTCGTTTCAAATGACTGTCTTACGGAATCAGTTAATTGGYTGCAAGATTAGATTAGTGACGTTTGGAATTGTTATCTTATTAGAGTACAAGAAAAACTTGTTTCTTCCACACTTATTCTTTTGTAACCAGTTCCATAGTACAATTGTAAAAGATCTGCAAAACATAGCGATCAAATAGTCGCMAGTTTACCATTTTTATAACCCCAGATGCATAAATAGTACTTACATTTTCCAAAAAGAAACGATTCATAAACCAAAAGTAAACTGAATG